TGCTGTGGAGCTAGATCTCCAAGGCAACTGATGCTGTCGAGCTAGATCTCCATGGTGACTGATGCTGTGGAGCTAGATCTCCATGGTGACTGATGCTGTGGAGCTAGATCTCCATGGTGACTGATGCTGTGGAGCTAGATCTCAATGGTAACTGATGCTGTGGAGCCAGATCTCCATGGTAACTGATGCTGTGGAGCTAGATCTCCATGGCAACTGATGCCGTGGAGCTAACCTGGAGGTTGTTTTCAGAGTTTTGGATTTAAATCAGCTGTACCAGTCGTCTCCCATTAGCCTAATCACTTCCTGATGATTCTCTATGAGCGATTCTCAGCTGAGGGAAAATGTTTTATCTGCAAATGAGTTGACCAAAACCGCCGAACGAAGCCGTGCAGTTACAGTACAGCAAACATAGTTGTACGCTTCCTCTGGAGGATAACTGATCAGTGTCGTCATCGCCTGCTCGCTCTTTGTTTCTTCTCATTTGGGTCATCAAGATGGGATACACCTGACCTGCTCATATTCGCCATTCTTTTCCTCTTGAGTAAAACGTGTACATGTTTTGGTAACAGGTGTTAAAATATATTGTTAGAATTAAGATGCTTGTGGTTCCACTTTTCATAAGATGTTTTGAAACACTATGAGTTGGATTTTTCATACCAGTATTAACGGCACACTGCTGGAGGAGCTTCACCGTCACACCTGCTCAATAACTGTCCTAATGTTGGCCATCCATGCAAAAAAACATCATTTAACTAATGTTTTTCTCATCATGTGTGTCTCTGAGTGGCACCAAGCTCTGTTATTAGGATGCAAAGTAAAGGTTTTATAGTTGGTGGAACATTTACGACCAGGTTTGTAACATCGTATAACTGGTCTGTGTTGTTCTATCAGAGTAGGGTTGGACCACTGGAGACCACGTGGACATATCAATGAGCCTGCAATGTTTCAGTAGCTGACATCTGTAGCTGCATTAATTCCCAAGTTATGAGACGTCAAACATTGATCCACAGATTGGCACAAAGAAAATGGAGCAAAATTTGACGCCTTCTTTATACATTTTTTTACTGAAGTTTTTCCAAATAACATGCAGAGAAAAAACAAACTGAAGGGCATCTGGCATCTGGTGAATCAGTCTTTTCCAGGCTGAACTCCTGTAACCGGACTCTCCTCCTCCCTCTACCCTGCAGATCCCACCTGGGCCAGTCTGAACCTGGGCGCTCTGATCTGCATCGAGTGTTCGGGGATCCACAGGAACCTGGGGACCCACCTGTCTCGTGTCCGCTCGCTGGACCTGGACGACTGGCCCGGAGAGCTCACGCAGGTCCTGGCCGCCATCGGGAACCACATGGCCAACAGTATCTGGGAGAGCTGCACGCAGGGCCGGACCAAGCCGGCGCCGAACGCAACACGGTGGGTTTGACCAGAACACCACCGTGTTCAAACAGCAGCAGCAGGTCTCAGGTCCTGAAGAGAAGAGTAACGCTGAACAAATCAAGAAATAAACACTACAGTGAATAAAAAGAGAAACCAATAATTACAATGAGTTGTAGGAAGAGGAATGAATAATTCAAATCAATCAAATCATTTAAAAGCCCGACTAATAAGGAAGGTCTGCCTTTAGAAACATCAGCACCTTCTAATCGATCAGTCCTGATCAATACGTGTTACTGCTCTGTGTAGAGGCAGACGTGGATTTATTACAGGATCATATAAAACCTTAAATACACCCTGTCTCATGTGTATATTTTAGTTTTTTTTTAGAATTTTTACCAATAATCTAATTATTTTAATTACTAAAAGGATGCTATTAATTTTCTTGACTTTTAGGATTTTAATACATTCATAAACAAAATTAAAATATAAATAAAAAAACAACAAAATCATCTGGAAAATCTGAAAAAGGAAATATTTGATTTGTTGGGTTTTATTATTATTTTTGTGGGTTAGAACTTTCGCTCTGAATTAAACTAGTAAATTATTACATTGGTTAAGTTTATCTACATATTTAGTAAAACTGCTGCATTTTATGTGTTTTTGTAGCGTTTTAGTCCCTCATATGTGAAGATATCATGAAAAACCATTAAAAAAATAATATATATGTACAGTCGTGACTCGATAATCCAACACTAAATGTAAAACCTTCTTCTCTGTGGGATCATTGAGTCACGACTGAATATAAAATTATTATTATTAGCATTGATATATATATTATAATAATAATGATCAATATAAACAAATAAATGATTACATTTGTAAGTATAACAAACACTTCATGTCTCATATATTACTTACATCTGTTTTATAACGTTGTCCAGAGGTTAGAGGCTTTTTACAGATTCTTCTAATTAACATGTGATGATAAATGTAATATTAAACACTTGTCCTGCTGACAACAACTTTATAAACCGTTTCATAAAAGCGCTCTGCGATAGACTGGCGACCTGTCCAGGGTGTCCCCTGCCTTTGCCCTAAGTCAGCTGGGATAGGCTCCAACCCCCCCGCGACCCTAATGAGGATTAAGCGGTGTATAGAAAATGGATCGATGGATAAAAGCGCTTCACGTGGAGTCAAAAGTTTTGCAGAAAAAGTTGTCAGTGCTTTCAAGCGTTTACAGGAAACTAATTTGAATTATTTCTTATACTTACAAACGTATTTTGATATTTATTTATATTCATTATAGGGACAAATAATCACAAGTCACACAAGATAAAGGAACCGACTCAAGAGTCTCTGGTGTGAATCTAAATAATGTGACTTTAAATTAAATTTAAATGTGACTTTAAATTGAATTTCCCTTCCGGGATAAATAAAGTATTTTTCATTTCATTTCATTTAAAGCATCACATCTTCCACCTTCACCTCCCTGATTAATCTCCTCTGTGTGGGTTTTGTTCTGTTTCTCCAGGGAGGAGCGAGAGTCGTGGATTCGAGCGAAGTACGAGCAGCGAGCGTTCGTGCCTCCTCTGCCGCCTCCTTCAGGAAACCAGCCTCCAGACGACAGCATGCCGACGTGGCTGCTGGCCGCCGTGAACGACAGAGATCTTCCCCGACTGCTGCTGCTGCTGGCCCACAGCTCCAAGGACCTGATCAACGCCCAGCCGGCCGGGTCGCCGTCGCCTCGGTCGGCGCTGCACGCCGCCTGCCAGCTGGGAGACGTGGTCATGACCCAGCTGCTGGTCTGGGTGGGTCCTCCGTCATTATTCACCCAGAAACAGAAGCTGTTTGGCTCCTAATTAGTCACTTAATTAGTATCGTTTAAACCATTAATGAACCGATACCGACTTTTATTGATACCTACAAACGTTGTAGGAATGTTTCCAAATCACTTCTCCAACACTGGTCGCAGCCTTCCCAGCTAGAATGTTTCTTCTAACGTTCTATAAATGTTCTGAGAAAGTTCTGGGAGGGATTTTAAAAAAAAATTCCTGCAATGTTCTTGTCAAAGGCAGGAAACGTTCTCTACAGATGCTCTATAAATGTTCCTAAAACGTTTTCCAAAAAGTTGTTTTGAGAACACCCTTTCTTAGTTATCATGTAACATTGTAGGAACGTTTTATTGAGAACATTCTCAGCAGCATCGTCACGGAAACATCCTCAGAACATTGCAGGCAAAACCTTTATTTTTTTTCCTGTAATAAATCAAATTACAGGAACGTTTAATAAAAACATTCTGAGGCCTCAGTAACATCTGGAAAACATTTCTTGAATGTTAGTTTGAGAACGTTCTTCCTTTGTTATCATGGAACATAATCTGACAGCATCCTCTGAATGTTGAAACGTTCTGTCTTAGTTCACTTTACACATTACAGGAACATTATTGGCAATGATAAATATCCTTAAAATGTTCTTTGAACATCAAATTAAAATGTCAGAGCTCGTAGATCATGTTGGGTAATGTTGTGGAAACGTTCCCTGCTTGGTGGGTTACACTTTCAAAGTAATTTAACTTAATCTCATGAGTGTATGTAAATAATAAATAAGTAAATAGATGAATGAAAACACACCAGATACACACATGTGGACGACATCTCCACCACATACGTCTGTGATATAATAATATTACTGTTAGTGGAGGTTTGCTGTGTGTTCGTCCTGGAGGCATTTAACAAAATATAAGCCAAAACAATTTAGGTGTAAAGTCAGACACAGGCAACAAGGTAAAGCCTGGATGACCTGCCAGAACCGATCATACTCTGGAATAGTGTCTGTGAAGGTTCTCAGTCATCCAGGTCGTGGTTGTTCTCGTAAGTTAATCGTAGCAACTGCTTGAGTTCCTTGAAGACGTTTCATCTAAGAGGCTTCATCAGTTCTGACTGACTAGTTCCAGACACTGATATCCTTAAGGAGCCATGAACACCTGAGTTTTCCAGACTGAGAATCTTCACAGACATCAAAACTCAGGTGTTAATGGATCCTTCAGGATATCAGTACCTGGAACTAGTCAGTCAGAGCTGATGAGGCCTCTTGGATGAGAGGTGGAACGTCTTCAAGGAACTCAAGCAAATCCAGATTAATCTACGAGAACTCTGTAATGGTGCAATTTTCCAACAAATTTACAATAAATCAATAA